GTTAATTTGAATAATTATATATTATTTTAATCTCAGCTTTTATGACTGCTACATGTGTGCAGATTTCAATGATTTTATTTTCAGGAGATTAAATTAAATTTCTTCAATTGCTTTGAGTGCTTTTTTTGCAGTAGACTTTGTATGTGCTTGTGTAAACAACAGGATTTTGTGTAGAATAAGACCACCAATTGCAATGGCTGTTAGACAAACTGCTGCTAAAAGAACCTAGGCTGGTGCAACTGGTGACTGGTTCATCACGCACTGCTGCAGTAGCCACTCCTCTTAAAGTGCTATGTGCTCCAGAATGAAATGACTGACAAAGTTTATACAAAAACAATGACATTATGACAAATGCATTCATTTCACTTCAATTAACTATAAATTAGTTAAATGCATATCACTGGCTACATAGTGGTGTGTTTTTGCTTGTGAAGTATGAAATGAAATGTTCAAAACTGCTTGCAACCTTAAACTCTTGACAGTATTCTTTCAAAGAGCGAGCACTCTCTGCCACACCTCTGATGTCCTGAACAAGTGAACTCTTTGTTAAATGATTGCCTTGCAACTGAGGTTGAATGACATTAGTTGCTGACTTTAAACGATTGTTAGCTGTACGAAGCTTGCTCTCACTTAGACTGAAAAATGACTTCATTTGATCAATGGCAAATACAACACGATAATGGTCTTGTTCTTTATCGTGATTGTTGGAGTTTTCTGAATATCCTTTTAGGGTCACATAGAGCCCAACAGAGGTAACAGCTAAAGCAACAAATACTCCCATGAGAGCAAGACGAGTTCCAGTGTCATTACTTGCTGAATGCATTGATGCTGCATGTTTCTTAACGTCATCGGCATTGCTAAAAACTTCGCTATGTTTCTTAATGTCATCATTGCTATAACTTATTGCAAGTAGTCCAGACCCTGTTAGTATTATAACTCCAATTATAGTTGTATCAATGCCAATTACTTTTGTTGACTTTGCATTCTCTTTCAGCTTGAGCCACTTGGGGTCTCCATATTTCTGTAGGAGGGTTTGCTTTTCTGTTTCAAGGTAGTCGAAAAGACTCTCCAAGTCTTTCTTACAATTTTCTGCCTTGCCAGCTACCTGCCCAAGAATATCCTCCAACTTGCCTTCCTCTACAGCCTTAGTCTGAGCTACTACAGCCTGTATCAAGTACTGCTCCTCATCACAAATGTACTTCGTGAGATAATAAACTTTGCTATAATAAGCATGTAGATGAATAAACATAGGCCTAATGGGCCTCATCTGGTGTGGTCTCCTGGCTATCTCACTCACTACATCTTTGGATATAGTGGAAATTGTATCTAAAAGGTTTTGTAAGGCTAAAAGACTGGTATCCATAAGGAGATATGATCAGAGATTACTTGACTGCACTGCACTAGAGCTGATTAAGTTATTAAACTATCTATCAAAACTGCAGCTTCATGTGCCTTCTCAGCAGACCAGGAGAGGTCAAACTATAAACTGGTATTAGTCAGCAAAATATTACTGCCAGGAATTAGATAGAAGAATGGACTAGGTTTATGGGATTATGGCACAATGGATTAGTTTGTTTAAGCTACAAGTATGTTATTAAATTAACTTAACTGTCAAAGATCTCAGTATTATAATCATAATTTGCAATAATTTAAATTGATGAATTGACAATTATAGTTGTAATGTACAAGAATCGTCTCTTACAACATGACAGTTTTTACTGGAACAAATGAATAGAATTTCTCAATTCCCTCTTCTCCCTATAAGGGATGAATAAACAGTATACAATCCAATAAATACTTACTTGAACAGGCAGTTTCTCTGGTTGCCAGACACAAAGGCTTTGATCTTCAGCAGCACTGACAATTTTATAATTTCCAACCTACATGTATAATGTATAGGAAAAATGCTCATACTAACATAATATTGCTGCATTTCATTGACTGACCCATAATGCTGTCAATGGTCTACAGTGTCCTTTTAACATTCTAACACAAGCCCCTGTAGCTATATCCCATTCATGAATGACTCCGTCACTAAAATAAAAAATTAAAAAAATAAAATTAGATTTTAGAACTAAGCAAAATAAATAGAAGAAATTGCATGCAAGTGAATACCAAATTATTACCTGGCAGCAGCATACACTTTCCCTCTGTCAACACAAATATCAACTATTATAATGTCAGACTCTAGACTCCACTGCATGAGCAGTCCATGAGTGGTGACATTCCATAAATATATCATTCCATCAATGCAAGTCGTCACCAAGAGAAGCTTTGACAGTTTCAAAGACGTGACTCCATTATTGTGCTCTAGGGAACCAAGATTCTCAGCTGTATGGACATTCCAGAAATTTAGAAATTCTTAGTTGTGCAGTGACTTTGTCAGCAAGATTTTCGACTGAAGTTTCTTCAATAGGCTTAAGTGAATCACACTGAAGTTGTAGATCCATGCCCAAACAAGCAAAGCCAAGGCTTACTCTTAAAGTGGGTGGAAAAAATGATAATACAAAGTCTATTTACAACACTAACCACACAAGTGTACTAAATAGTAGTAGGACTCCTGATATTAGATCTATTCTGCTTTCGCCTAACCAAGAATGACCTTCACAATAATTTGCTAATTGAGCAAAGTGACATGTATGAAGAATGATGTCATTGATAATTAGTTTAGTCATGTTTCTAATTAGCTAACATCATGAGTAGTGGCTTGGTTAGCTGGGTCATATGACCAAACGGAATTTGAAAAATTTATTGAAACATTAGAATAGTGGCCATTTCTTGACTTTTTTAATTTTATCAAAATTTGAAAATCAAGATATTTTGTCTATTATTAATCTCAGCTTTCATGACTGCTACATGTATATTTACAGATTTCAACAATTTAACAATTTAATTTTTAGAAGATTAGACTTTATTTCTTTAATTGCTTTGTGTGCTCTCTCACAGTAGGCTTTGCATGTGCTTATGTAAGCAACAACATTTTGTGTAGAATAAGACCACCAATTGCAACTGCTGCTAAAAGAACTGGCCCAATGGTGTCATTACTGCTGCAGTAAGTGTTCCTGTAATGATGACAAATGACGGACAAAGTTTATACAAAAGCAATAATTATGACAATTGCATTCATTTCACTTCAAATAACTATAAACTATTCACTGGCTACATAGTGTTGTGTTTTTTGCTTGTGAAGTATGAAATGAAATGTTCAAGATTACTTGTATTCTTAAACTCTTCACAGTACTCTTTCAAAGAGCGAGCACTCTCTGCCACACTTCTGATGTCCTGAACAAGTGAACTCTTGACAGATTGACTTCCTTGCAACTGAGGTTGAATGAGATTAGTTGCTGACTTCAAATGATTGTTAGCTGTACAAAGCTTACTCTCACTTTGACTAAAAAATGATTTTTTTCATCGATGGCAAATAAAGTACAATAGTGATCATCTTGATTACTGGATTTTGTTGAAGATCCTTTTATGGCAACGAAAATCCCAGCAGAGGTAACTGCAAGAGCAGCAACAAATCCTTTGAAACCAAGATTTCTAGTGCCTCCCTTAGAACTTATTGCAAGTAGTCCAGACCCTGTTAGTATTATAACTCCAATTATAGTTGTGCCAATGCCAATTATTTTTGTTGAATGCGCATCTTCTTTCCTCTTCTTGAGGTCTCCATCTTGCTGTAGGAGATTTTGCCTTTCTGTTTCAAGGTATTCAATAAGACTCTCCAGGTCTTTCTCACAATTTTCTGCCTTGCCATCTACTTGCCCAAGAAATTCTTGAATATCCTCTACCTTGCCTTCCTCTACAGCCTGTATCAAGTACTCCTCCTCGTCACAAATGTACTTAGCAAGATAATAGACTTTTCCATAATAAGCATCTAGACGAACAAACATGGCACTAATTTGCGTCATCTGGTCTGGTCTCCTGGCAATCTCAGTCGATACATCTTTGGATATAGTGGAAATTGTATCTAAAAGGTTTTGTAGGGCTGAAAGACTGGTATCCATAAGGAGAAATCAGAGATCAGTCTAGGGACCAATGAATAACAAGTTGTTACACTATCTCTAGCTGTGTAGTGTAGATGAATAACACATCAAGTGCAATACAAAAATAAATTACCAGCAGATGTGTGTAAATTCTACGAACAATTATTGTACAAGCAGTACTACTTCACTGCTGAAATTCAGATACTGTTGTATGCATGCTTTGCCGTATAAGCAACTACAAGTTTAAATTAATCATTAATCAAAGAACACAGTATTATATAATTTAATTGCAATAATTTAAATTGATGAATTGACAATAATTAGTTATAATGTACAAGAATCGTCTCTTACAACATGACAGTTTTTACTGGAACAAATGAATAGAATTTCTCAATTCCCTCTTCTCCCTATAAGAGATGAATACATTAGTATACAATCCAATAAATATTTACTTGAACAGGTGGTTTCTCTGGCTGCCAGACACAAAGGCTTTGATCTTCAGCAGCACTTACAATTTTATAATTTCCAACCTATGGGTATAATGCATAAGAAAATTGCTCATACTAACATAATATTGCTGTATTTGATTGACTGACCCATAGTGCTGTCAGTGGTCTACAGTGTCCTTTTAACATTCTAACACAAGCACCTGTAGCTATATCCCATTCATGAATGACTCCATCACTAAAATACCAATTAAAAAAAATATATATATAATTACATTTCAAAACTAAGCAAATTTAATAGAAGAAATTGAATGCAAGTGAATACCAAATTATTACCTGGCAGCAGCATATACTTTTCCTCTGTCAACGCAAATATCAACTATTATGATGTCAGACTCTAGACTCCACTGCATGAGTAGTCCATGAGTCGTGACGTTCCATAAATATATCATTCCATCAACGCAAGCCGTCACCAAGAGAAGCTTTGAGAATTTCAAAGATGTGACACCATTGTAGTGCTCTAGGGAACCAAGATTCTCAGCTGTATGGACATTCCAGAAATTCACAGTGCTAGAAAACAAAGACGACAATTGTGTGACAATAAATAAAATAATGATGCTCTTGAAAGTTGTACTAATACCTGTCTTCTGATCCACTAATTATTGTGAGCCCATTGAAAAATAAACAAGTAATTGGTTCTATATAAGGAGTGTGGATTAAAATTATTTTAATTAAAGTGTCTTACGTGAGTGGGCATTTGAGATTGTCCTTAAACACAGCCAGGAAGGCGTGTCCCAAATTTCAACGTTTGA